TTGTAATACATAATCGTTATTTAAAAATGGAGTTGGAACAAAGCGGGTATCTCGTTTCTATTCTCATAGGATATGCATTTCTTTTAGAATTAATTTATTGAAAAACCTCCAGTGTTGTATACACGTCACGTGTGTTAAATAGGCTGTATATTATTGGTGTACGGAAATTTTGGCTAGTACGCGTAGCTGGTTGTTTCACCGATCTACTTCTTTAGTACGTCTGGCCTTATGGTTTGTGGATACATTGCTTAATTTCGGGGAAAACAAAGAAGATGCGTTACCTTGCTTTCTTTAATTAAGAAAATTTAAAAACAATATTTTCCATTCTTTTAATTTATTACACAAATAAGAAGATTTTGCATATCGTGATGTGGGTTACGATTATTGAGTCCCAATAATTGTACATCATTTCATAGTGTGAATTCACAACACCCTTACTTAGTTTGCCAATTAAGCATTCAGTACGTGTGATATTTTGGTTAGTACCCCTGGCATTCTGGTTAGTTGGGGCAACATTGTAGTTAGTACATGTAACATTTTTTCGTAAGTCCAACATTTTCGAATTGTCGAGAATGTTTTGGATGGCTAATGATTTTTTTTCTTTGTTTTGAAGCCCGACGTGCGTGGAGGAGCTGGTGCGGCACGGGGCGGACCTGCACGCGCCTGACAAACGCGGCCTGACGCCGCTGCACGTGGCCGCTGCGCACGGCCGCGTCGAGGTGCTGCGCGAGCTGCTGCGCCTGGGCGCGCGCACCGACCTGCGCGCGCAGCAAATCACGCCGCTCATGATCGCCGTGGAGAGGCGAGACGAGGAGTGCGGACGAGCGCTCATCGAGGTAAGCTAACCGCCAACCCCGTTAACATCACTGAGGAGTCTCCAGGCCCATTCACAATGCGAACATGGCGTTTAGATTTAGATTTATTCACTCAAAAAAACAAAACAGTAAAAACCATATGTGACATGGGGGAAGATATTATATAATATTAACGCGTTAACATAAAAGTTAGGACTACGTGTACAAGCGGACTCATTCACAATGCGTTCTCATAAGCTAACGCGTGAGACGTTAACTTAAAAGCTTGCAAGCTTTAAGCTTGTGTGCTTATGCTTAAGTAAGGCATAAGAAATGAACTAATCACAGTACGGTAACTCAAAGTCGAGAGTCGAAATAGGAGCGAAGTCGATTGACGAACTAACATCATATGGGCAATGGATACAGTCGATACCTCGAAATCGATTATCACATCCAACCAATAGTATTCTAGAATGTCTCACAGCCAATAGAAACTTCTATTTTATTTGCGTTTAAGTTAAACATTGAGAATACTTTAGTCGATCACTTATGTTAATGTTTACGTCTATGCGTTATACTCATGTTTACGTTTTCATTGTGAATGGACCTTAAGCAGTAACATGCATTGGAGCAGAGGCGGATCCAGATGTGGGGAGGTCATGGGACCTATGCCCTCTCTCCAAAAGTCACACGTTTTCGTTTATTACCGTCTTGTATTTTAACATGTATTTAAATATTTGTTGATATTAGAATTATGTAGGGACTAGTTATTTTAAAAAATATTGTAATATGTCAAACGTACCCTACAAAAATAATAACAAATATGTTTACTCTTTATCAAAATGTATGATGCTTTGAAGTGTCCTAGTACGATAAATTAACAAAGTAACTACAATTCGGTTAGGCACTAAAAGGATCGGTATTCCATTCCGCCATGATGGCCACTGCACTGACAACTGCAGTATGGCGTGACGGCAGTAAACGGTCTCAAAATTGACACATTAAGCAATATGATATTTTTTTTCATCAAAATGCTGTTTTATGCCACATCGAACTTTCAGTCACACTATTCTTCTATTTCCGTATCTATTCACTCTTCTTCGATTTCTCTTCTGTCTCACTAAACTTAAAGAGTGTTTCTCAGCAAGAACAGCTAAGGAAGCAAAGTACGCTCTAATGGAGTCTACTAACAGACTTCCCTACTCATACCACCCACTACTGTTGCCGCAAAAAATTAGCATCTCAACAGCCCTGTAGACCAAAATGTGTGGCTGCCATAATAGTACTGAAATATTAACTACCATATAAGTAAGGAAAATCAACATGAAAGTAAACACTAACCTTTTCAATTAAAAATTAATATTAAAATATGTTTACACATTTATAAGGTATTATGAACTTTCGCAAAGATAACTGAGGGGCCCAAGTACAGTCAAGTACAACCAAGTACACTCTTAGGATCCTTATTCCTGTTCAACACCTACAGTCTAGGGATGGTTGCAGGTTCAGAAAACAACATAATTGAAAATAAAAGAAATAATAAAATGTTCAATTAAAGTCTCTTTGTAATGTAATTTTTACAAATGACAATCATTGTGATTGTCCAAACTTTCAAATGATGTAGGCTAGGTGTTAGCATTGGATTCAAATTGTTCAGGAAAGTAATTTCTTAATGTTGTTCACAGGCAGGAGCAGATGTGTCTGGAGGCACTCTTTTGGGATATTTGAATCTGCTGAGTCATAGAGAAAGCCCTCAGAACACACAAGAAGATCAAAATGATAATTTACTCAGTAGTACATAGTATTACAACAAGTATATTATATTATTAAAATCTTTCTTTTCCTTGATCGGTATTGAAATGCATGTAAACTATCCTAGTTTTGGTAAATAGTATTATTTTGTTGTTGACAAGAGCAATTATATTTTTTATTCTTGCTTATCAGTATTATTAGACATATTCAATTTTTCTTAATATTTTAGATAAATTAGTATAATAAAGTTTTAAATTGATATTGTGCCTATTTGTGATATTTTATGTATTTTATTAAATATTTTATATTTGTAATAAATAATATATTAATATATGTGTTTTTTATTAGCTAATATCCCAACTCTGACATGGAGAACTTTCAAACTAAATAACAGTATGTTTCAAATTTTTTTACACCCATTTAACTTCTAAGGAAGTGGAAAAATACCCTAGTGTAGAACCCTGATAGTAGACTAATAAGGTCTTTCGTTTCATTAAATTTCATAACAACTTTCAAATTAAAAAACTACGGTAAACAGATACTCGTTTCTTTGACAAGAATATGCAAGTAAAAAACAACAATATTTACTTTTTAGGAATTACATTTTCAGAAAATAGTATTCCCTTATTATACAAGTAAATAGAATTCATAATAAATATCTCTTGATTAAAATGCAAACAAAGCAAATATGGCAATAAAATATTTTTTTTCTACCAGTGTAGAAAAGAAGTAGATTCTGCAAACCATACACATATTCTGTCATCCTCTAATACATTAAATTGCCAACAAAACCTATCTAGTTATAATGAAAACGAGGAGTTATGGGCCCAGCTGGCAGAAGAGTGCGTAAAACATACTTGAAGTACTGCAGAGGTTGTACATGCAAAGGGTAAGCAAATTATAACAAAAAAAAAAACACAAATGAATTTCTTTCACTCATTACAAATCTTCCATACAGAGTTTACATTAATTATGTGTAATCATGAAGTGAAATCTTCAGAATAGTGAGTAAATTCAAAAATAAATATTCGTCTGGTTTTAATGAATTTCTGGATTGTCTATTAAAAACTTGTGTACCTGCTTTTATACATGCATTAACTCACAAATTCAATGCTTCTTTACATACACGAAAATTTCCCGATTTTTCAAAATAGCAATTTCAAATTTTCCAGTTTTTCTATCTGCGACTGAAAATGTTTCTCGGGAAAATCTAAGCGTTTTAAGACTCACAACACTGTTTTAGAAAATCAAAATTGAAATACCTCGTATCGTAAACACCCTAAGGAGTAGAAATATCGTTCTGGCACGAACGAATATTATTACTTACTTAAATATCGTTCTGGCACGAAAGAGAATTATTTACTTATGTTTCCATTTCTTTGCCAAATGGTTCGTTAGTTCCTATTCTCTTTGTGTTATATGTAAACGATATGTCCTCGTCCATTAAAAACGGGAGAACCGTTCTGTTCGCTGATGATACGCTGGTCTTTGCAAAACGAAACCATATATTGTACGATTTCATATGTTTCAAACTTATTTCGTAATAACAAATTAATAGTTAACGAAGGAAAATAGGTTTCAATGCATTTTTGCATTTCAAATCGACAATCTTATGGTCCATTGAAAATGAACAAAATTCAATTATCAGATGTTAAGGTAAGAAAATGTCTGGGTCTTTCAATTCAGTGGAACTCAATTGATATTCAATTCAAATGGAATATAAATATAACAGAATTATACACTAAATGAAGTTGATTATGTTATGCATTCATGCAGCGTGTATTTTGAAAATGTACCTGCATTCCCATAGTAAAAGATACGGCACAATATTCTGGGTAAGTTCATCTGATAGGACACAGACCTTTAGATTAAAAATAAGTATTCGAATAATTAAAAAAAAATCATCCGCATGATTCCTACAAGCCTCTCTTCATTTAGCTTGGAATCTTACCATCGCCTTGCCTATATATTTACGAATCATATGTAGATTTTGTCAAAGCAGACATACTTAATTGTGGGAACATGTTTCCATGTAATTTTGATATTTATATCAAAATTACATGGAAACATGTTCCCACAAATATTTTATCACGTCATTGAAAACACCAATAGGTGCAGTGGCGGCGCGAGGCATAGGCAGACCGGGCGATCGCCAGGGGCCCGATGATTAGACTGATGAGGAAAAGTTATTAACAATTTGAAAAATAAAATATAACTCGAGAAAATCGTTATCGTAATTTTATAAGTCGCGGTACAGTAGTTTGATATTTCATTAGTTTTTACCTTAAATAGTTCTTTATAGTCCTTATTTATAAGGTAAGACTTTATGAAACGAATCACATGACGCTAACATTAAAATAGGTTCTTTTGAAATTTATATGTGTTAATTCATGTATTTAACAAGTGATTTTATTAAACACCTTTTTAGCGTTTTACGCTCACCGTGGAAATTATATTATTTGATCACTAACTTAAACACTTTTATTTAAATATAATTCTAGAACCTGTTTCTAGCTTAAATTTTGTAAAAAATTGTTGTTATTTATCGAAATAAAATAACTCGTATACTTTCTTAGTACAACTTTCAAGTTTTTATTTTTTTTCGAGGAGAGGGGCAATTACATTTCAGCATTGCCCTGTGCCCAAAATTGTCCAGCTCCGCCACTGACCAGGTGTGAGTATGAACAGCTCACTACAAGAAGTCCACATTTAAAACAAGTTCGTTACTTTTCAACACATTGCCAGATGACATTAAGTAATTAAAATCGGTCCGTAATTTTAAGTTATTGTCAAAAATAAATGTTTTGTGAGGCATAACTGTCTCTATACAATTAGAGACTATACTGATCATTAAAAAGAAAAAATGTTTATTTTAACAGTAATGTATACATGCATTGGTCGACATTTATATTATATCATTTTGTAAAAAATTGTGCGTGTATCAAGTAATGTACTTCAGCTTCCGAGTCAATGACCGATCAGGTTTTGTCCTGTTTCCTGATCCATTGATCAAATGCTGAGATGGCCGTTTGTTTTGCTTCTGGAGACAAACGTGACTTTAGTATGCGCACGTTTCGTTGAGCTCTTCTTTTGCTTAGATCGGTAGGAGTAGAGCTTGCTTATAATGGAGTTACTATTTTACTAACAATGCAAAATAATGAAATATGTAATTCGTTTACCAAAGTAAATAAGTTTTTTCTCTAATTCGGGAGCGAAAATGTCTTAATTTTTCAGATGTTGCTAATCCTAAGCTTTATTATTATTATTATTATTATTATTATTATTATTAATTTTTTTACTTATATTCATGTTTTAACTATAACCGAAATTGTGTGGATTCCGGAGCTCATAAAACGTGTGCAGATGGTACGTCTTCCCTCACACTCTTTTTACTGTTCTTTGATTAAAGGAAACAAGGTAAATCAAGAAGTAGTTATTATTCCGTATTAGTAATTATCGAGCTGGGGTGAGTGTTGAAGAGTATCATGACTGGATGAAACACCGGTAGTGATTGATGAAAAAATAAAAATGTTTTGAAAGCTTTGAAGTAACTAATATACAATGCTATGGGAGTGATATACTAGCATCATCTAGTTTACCTTTTCTTGTATGTTTCAATGATTTACAGTTACCCCGCGCGAACAAATACGTCCCTACTGATTTCGTGAGTATCGGAGTGTTAATCATTTAACAATACCTATTATTTGTTCACAATAGATGTTTTCACACATGATAAAGTGAAGCTACTGCACCGCCGTGAGATAGGATGTTTGGAAAGAGCTTTTCTCCCGCTTTGGCAAGAGGTTCCACATGTAACCGTTTTTCAGCGCGCTCAACTACCTAAACCATTTTTCAGAAAATTAAAGTTAAAGTATTCATTTTGTGGGAAATTTTGTCGACTTTAATTTTATAGACAACAATTGTTCCGATAAAACACATTGTTTTGAATGTTTGTTTTTCAATTTTGTCTGTGAAGCCGACCTTTTTGAGGTGGCATACAGCAAATTCGAATTCAGCACCGTCAGAAACCTTTTATACCGTTGAGAAAAAATCTTCCGGATTTTTTTCTTGAGTCAAATACCTATTGACTGGACTAATACTGGACAGAATAGCATAAACAGACGTTTTGTTTGCCTGTTTAAATCCCAGTCCAGGCCATGCCAACTTGTCGCCTTCGCTCAGCCCTAAATAATTCCGTTTTTTATCGTGCTCAAACTTAACGTTACAATCGCAAGGACATTGAAAATTACAAATTGTATTGTATGTTGTAAATTTTGAATAGCTGCGATTTAACTACACTTTTTTAATCTACCACGTGCATCTTTGAACAATAAAGCAATTAAAAAGTGTCCGCGTGAAGCTTAAACTGAAAGTAATGGAAAGGAAGTACATCTTTATTTTGATGTCCCTTCAAAGATTTTACATACCAGAGACACCCAAAATAAACATTCATGAACAGAAGTGAAGTAATAATTTAGATCATACATACATGTACAGTTCTTTTCTGTTCTCCTTTTTAGCTTTTCACAGCTATTACTTATTTTACAAATTTTTAACTAATTTTACTAAAATTTTACGTAGGTTTGATGGATAAATGTTTTTGAAAATAAAATCAAATTGTAACATATTCTTTAACAACGCGTTGATCACGCAAACTGCATTGATATAGGTACGTTTTATATAATTTGCTTACTACATATTAACTAATGGATCACATATTGAAAAAAATATTGTCGATCAGGAATACGATAATATTACGACAAAAATAACGATACGGGACCAGCCAACAAATTTCTGTTTCGAAATTTTATTTAGACGAAAATTATTTAAAGAAATAATGTTCATGGAGTATTGCATCCGATAACATCAGGACAATATGATTTTTTAAATATTTTCTTAATCTTTTTATTTAAGGACGCTATATACCAACAAGGTTAACAGCTATCCCTATAAGTTACATAACAATATTAACAAACATACGAATCAGAGTTTTAATATAAATAAACATGTCAAATTAACTCACATTATTATTTCATATTACAATATCATAATCAAAATATGCTTCATATAATTAAATATCACAAAACTTCGAAATAACGAGCTTTTGTTTCTATTCATCATTCAACTATTTATGGTTAAAAGATGGGGAAGATATTCTGTTACTCAAGAAAACGTACGCAGATTGTACTTCTCCCCCTCCTGACGTCACAGACAAAATAAATCAATTCAATTCAAAATCAATTTTTTGACAAAATAAATCAATTGAAATAGCTACAGTATTTTCTTCATAAATTACTTATTACAAACAAAAATTATAAAAACAAGTTTTTCATACATTATTTAGTCCTAAAATATGCACGTGAGCGTGAATGTTTCCGCTTCAAAATGCCAAAGATGCGCGATGAAGGGGAAAAAATGTAATTAATATGCTCTATCACATTTTAGCACAAAAACATTTTACTCATTTTCTGTGTTGTCTGCCTTATATGGCAGGGAAAACACAACTTTTCCATTTCTTCATATTTATTTCTTTGTCTGAATACAACGTATCAACCAATAAAAGGGCTTTTCTTCAACACAGGATAATAGGAGCATATTTAAATGACGAAATTTGACGTTTAATCATTTGACACTTTAAAATACAGAGCAATATTTTCCATTTCGCATCCACAAACGCGATACTCTTCTACCAGTTAAGTAATGTTTGGAGATCTGATAATTTTCAGTTGTTACCCGGGGTTTCGTTATATTTCATTAACCAAGCACTTTCCCGGTGGCAGACGCTATTGCGAGAACGTGGACCGACTTTATCCATATACCTGCTCTGGGCTGTTCGGGTGACGCCGCGTCGAAGGCTGAGGTGCCGACGTTTCGACCGACATATCGCGACCACCCTCAGGGGCTGTACTACCTGATGTCGGCCGGCCGGCCGGCAGGTCGGCATGCAGCCTCTCGCAGGAACCCCTTTCACTTCCCGCTGCACGCCAGCGTCCACATAAAACGCCTTTTCTTTCAATTTTGCGCATGTGCCATTCTTCATCACTACTAGTTTTCGAAATCTGAAAGTCTTCCCAACGTTCTATATCACTGGAAGATGTTGCCATTAAAACGTTTCCAACATTTCTCACATCTACAGTAGTACGTAGTCGAAAGCAAGAGAAAGACGGTAGCGGATTGGGATAGGCAAAACTGCCCCCGGGGATAAACAATTTTTATGCTGAAAATAATAATGAAAGTGTAAAAAAACAATTTTTTGGCGGATTTAAATGAAAAAAAGTAAAAATTTTTAAAAAATTAAATGAACCAGAAATAGAGAAAATCGTTATCGTAATTTTGAATCGCGGAACAGTAGACTGGTTTTTCATAAAATTGTCAATTTTTTACCTAAGATAGTTAATTATAGCTATTACTTTTATGTAAAGACCGGATTTTCATGCAATAAAACTCTCTAAAACGCGCAGTAAAAACACCAAAACATGTAAATAAAAAGATCAAGTCTTTACAAAACCGTGTTATGAAGCCTAAAAACCCCAGTTAATCCACTTATCTATTTATTTTCATTTTTGAATGTTTTATTTAAGGTAAATGAAATTATGTAATTACAATTTTGTACATATTGTTTAAACAAAACATATTTAATATTTTTAATATTATTTGCACACGAAATTAAATTAGCCTAAAAACTCAAAAGTAAATACAAAAATATCTTCAGAAATAAAAGATAATTAAGTAACCCAAAAAATGTTCTTAATTGTTTTCATTACAATTTACAATTTCGTCTATTTCCAAATTGTTTTCTGAGAAATTATTATATCTTCTATCAACAAATAAATGTTTCAGAGAGTAAAAAATTCGTTCTACATGTGTACTTGAGTGTGTGCCGAGCTTACTCTTGGGTACGTGTGCACGCTGCTAAAAGCGATAAAAAACTGCGTTCATTCTCTCTTGGGCACGCAGGGCAACGTCTTTCATATTCGAAAAATTCGATGAATTCGAAACTCAGTGCAGTTTGTCACTAAGCTTCGCGGCTCGGACGTGGGGACAAATGTGACTCACGCATGCATTTGGGTTAGTAATTTCAGCAAAAATTGACAAAATGGCTGTATGATGCGATTGGGAAGATATGGTTTGCTGAGCGACCGCAACCAAGAACAGCGGACATATCTCTACTGCAATAACTCAGAAATTTTAATTACCCAATAGCAATCATGAAAGATATAGACCCTCAGTTTAAAGGAACACAAAATGCAGAACTGATACATATTAAACGGCAATCGTATTTCTCTACCACACATGTCGGGAGACCGCCGAGAGCTTAGCAACTGTTCCGGCTGAGGTGGTGTCCCGCTGGTGGAAGATACCTGGACGGGGAAAACACCGCTAGCCGACGGTGGGTCGGCTCCGAATCTCGCCATCCAGCGGGAAATCACCGCCATCTCCCGAGTAAAAACATTCACAACACTTACGGGACTAATGACCTTAGCAATTGACGCGCCCGGAATCACTAACAATCAATCCATCAATCCATTCAGTGGCTGAATTGGACCTTATTTCGTAGCTCTATGCTAGTATCGAAATTCCACCACCGCACCGTCCGCTCCTGAACGGCAGCGTATAAAGGGGGAGAAGGCATATGCCTTTATCCTCTCTTTGCCTAACGGTCACATGAAAACGGTGATGGTCGGCCGTTGCCATCCACTGTTTCGATGATGGAAGGGCGTTCACGAGGAATAAAATGGTAGATGAATAACTGAAGATGCTCAGATGAGATACGTGAGGTAGAAAAAGTCAATCACGAAACAAACTTGTAGTATAATCTAGCGTACTTGAATTCACTATCCCCCTGCACCAACTTAAGAGGGAATTCATCAATCAATATATTAAAATTCGAAGATCACTGTTCATTCTACTGAAAAGCAATTATGAACCGTTCTCATTTCAATTGGTCATCTACGAATGAGTCAGCGCAAATACAGATAACAGTGCCTTTGTTTCACAAAACCGTGACTTTTATTTGTGAAACATAAAGCCTTTATTTGTTTGTAGATATTTAATTATACAAATGTTAAATTTACACATATTAACATAAACAATTATTTCTATTGATATTAATGTAACCTTTTATGCCAGAGGCTGTACAAAACAAGCAACTATACGATGTTTAAATTTTATTTACATTATAAAATTGCGTAACTGATATAAAAATGAATATGAATAAAACACCATAAGCTCCACACTACGGTAGTAATCTTATGACGAAGTATGCGGATTTATAGGCATGAAAACTATAGAAATTAGGCTGGCATAATAGCTAGTTAAAAATTTAAAATAGGCATTTAAAAGGCACAATACATTTTTCATATTCTATTTATGTACTTGTACAGAATATTTCTAAAGTACACATAAAAAAGTTACCTTTATGGAATGTTTCTTTTTCATCATTGTTCTGATAAATCCTCGTAGAAATCTTTGTTTTTATTGCTGCCCAAATCAGTCAAAAAGGGTTGAATCGCAGTAGCTACCTTGTTTTTCGTTATATGCAACCTGATACTCTAATGCTGCACAGTATCTTTTTTCTCATATTTCATTTAAAAATAATTGAAAATATTGCATGATTTATTTTAATCGCCATGCATAACACAAATTTTGTAATTAGCGATGATACAATAGCACATACTTTCTCGCATTATATCTAAAGAATATTTCAAAATTTGCTATTTCCAAAAATTTAGAGAGATCTACGAAAATGACACCTGCGCCATTCTTTTAAATGTCTCTTGTTCTATCCATGGGAAAGAATAAACTTGCAGTCGTTTTTGAGCACTTTTTAAAATTTGTATTAATTTCAAGGAGAAATTCCTTAAAAAAGTATACATGACTTATTAAAGTTCTGCTTTTTAGATCAGATTTCATTTAAAAACAATCTCTGAATTCAATCTTGTACTTTTGCAATGTTAACGTTTTGTAGTTTTCGAAAATGGTGCTTGGGAAAAATAGAGCCGGCACTAATTTTTGTACCGTCCTTCGGGGAGAAACTTTTGTGTGGAAAGTTGTTTAAAAATTCGAAATAAAATATAACTTGATTACTTCCAACGATTTTACATGTGTTTCATAATACGAAATACCCGCATTGTGGTGGCAGTAAAATGGAACGTAGATTTATCGATTGTTCGATTTCTCGGTATTCTGCAGGATAAAAACAAAAAATACAATCTTTTAAATGTTTGATTAATTCCTTTTCAATCAATAAATACGAGGATGGACAACATCTAGGCATTTATTAGAGAAATAGGCTTTTGTAGACACTGTAAAATCCGCGTGTCTTAAATTGAATAAGTAACCTAAAATATTGCATTTTCCATTGCAGGAAAAGACAGGCAAAAACCCGAAGCTTACTTATGACTAATAATTTTATATTAAAATTAGAATCTTCAAAGCTCGTGGAGCTATGAAATGAGTGGACTCTAAACTGCGTCTTGGGGTGACTCATCGCCTCGGCTGTCACAAACCAGCTTGAATGCAAGGTTCGTTCATTATCGCAGCAAACAAAAATTCCCTCCAGTAGCGTTATCTTTATCCCATCCCCTAATACGGACTTTCAACATTTTGGAACAATTGCATTGTTCCACCGGCAGCCAGCGCGTACCTGCCGCCTCCCCCTGCGACACTGTACTTTCACAAGGAAACGGACTCCCGGAGGCTCTCTTACTGGCCACGTGACTCGCGTCGCTGCCTCACCACCGCCCTCCGGCCCTCCCGAAGAAGCAGAACCCCCTCGCCCAGTATTGCGACGCATTTGGTGGTGGTTGTTGGTAGTTCGCTTCAACCCTCATTGCTGGGAAGTGCAACCTGTGTGTTCGACGATTCACCATGGTAAGAACACTTTTTTTTGTTTATTTTGTTTCGTTCTATTTGTATTGAGTACTACTCGAGTTCAGGCTCAGATAATTCGAACGTTTAGTCTTTTGATTTTTACTTTCGCGCTACGTAATAGAGAGTTTTTCCTCGCAGTCTTCCTACAACTGAAATATTAAAGATAGAATTATTATGTGTACAAAATGTACAATTTTTCGAAAACCTATTTTACATTAATTTTGCGTAATTTTGCGTGAAAATACGTGCTGTTTTCGCACCACTAGTTTTAAATTTTATTGTATTGAAAATCTACCGGCAGTGCAGTGAATAGTTAACTGAATCATAAAAACAAATATGAAATTCCTTGACTATTTGAATGACAATTAATATGTTTACATCTGCAGTTTGAATATAATGTAATATTTTTTAATGACCAATTTTATTTTTTTAAAATTTCATTGACGTATAATAGTTACTATTTAAACTTAAGACATTGTGATAACTCATTTTTGCTGTCTTCAGACATAGGCCTAAAATTATTGAATAATGTCATTACAGAATTCAATACATTACATAAATTTTATAATACTAATGGTTCATTGTGTAAATAAATACTACATGACGTTTTGGTATGAATTCAATGTTAATATTATCTTTCTAGGAAATTTTTCAATTTTACAATGACATTTTTTGATAGTTTTAAACTTCTATGCCTATCACAAAAAACTGCAAACATTAATAAAAACATAATTTTTTACAGTTTAATAGGCAAATGAGGAAAAATTGTTCACAAAGCAATTGTAGGTGGTTAATAAAATACTGTAATTGTATGAGAATACTGATGCTGAGCCTGTACATTTAAATTTTGATTAATTACAAACTTTATAGTTGTAAAATTTGTAATTATATAAAAATGTAAACTATCTTGCAATTTTATTTGGCAATTATGTTATCCCTTGCTTTAAGAGCATAGAATGATGCATTACACCATTTACTAAGCAGCAGATTTCAGTACAGAGTACGCATTCGTAAAAGTAAACCAGGGTTTTGCAGTCAAAGCTTTTTTCAGGGAAAGGGTGCTTCATTGAAATTCTGGGATACTAATAATTGGTTTTACATGTTCTAGGCTACACGGATTTGCAAAGGAAATAAGTCTGTCTTGAAGGAGTTTCACCAGGTGGTTGAAGATATGAAGAATGCTTCAAGATCATCTCTCTCTTTAGCGGTAAGACAATATATCTGTACAAGTTTATTTATTAATGTTAATCAATTTGCTACTATGTTTTGAGTGTATTATGTTCCCAACATGGTAAGCTTGAAACTGCATGCCAATTTCAATCCGTTCCTCTTTTATGTTCTCTCTTCCTCTCTTTTCGAATCTACTTTCAATAAATCCCATCAGTACATTTCATCTTTTTCTTCCCTTTCCACTTTTTAAAGGTTTTTATTTCTGTCTTAAAATCCTTCAATTTTTAATACCTTATAACTCTTTCCAGAGTTTCGTTTTCTGCATCATATCCAAAGTATATTCATTACAAAGACGGAATATTGATTACTTTTATAATAGTACTTCCTTCCATGTTATTTTGTATCTCTTGTACACTTCTATAAATTCCACCAAAGAGATCGATTGCATAAAGATATTCCCAAAATATCAACTACTACTTTTGGAGTTTCGAATATTTTTTTAAAACAATGTTAATGTACTACATTTGTAATATAATTAACTGTTATTTCTTTACAATCAACTTGTTATGCAATCACAATTTATCACAAGAATATGAGTCTTCCTTCTGCCTCTAATATAATAAAGTCAAAATTTGTGCCGTTAATTAATCCGAAATCTTGTTAGAACATATAAAATAATGTTGAAACCTGTTCAGAACAATAAATTAATTTTTAAATTTCAGTAGGGTAGTAATTAAGTTCAGTAATTAAATTCTTTAGAATGATTTAGGACATCTTCATATTGACACTTTGATATAAATTGCAGTCTCATTTCAAGTCCATAAAAGAATAGGTATATGATAATAACTAAAAACATTACTAAGTTTTATGAATACAGCAGATTTGGATTGGATTATGTTCTACAAATTGATCCATATACCATAATTTACAGACTATAAGACATACTTTAATTTTTAAGTAACTCAAAAATACAAACATTTTTACCATTTTTAATATTAGATTGCAAAGATAGACTAAAAAATCATAGTTTATAAAACTGGGTTTTGTAATGGCAGGGAATGAGGGACACAGTGTTAGCAAGCTTGAGAATCCCTGCAACTCATGTTCATTGCATCTGAGCATTGCTGCTTAATAGCTATTTTGCTACTATATTAATAAACTTTGACATTGCAATTATTTTTTTATTGATCAGCAATATTATTTTATAAAATTTCTTTTTACAATATCAGTTATTCCATTAGCATCATTCTCATGTACAAAATACACTTCAATATGTTTTGAGTTTTTTGTTAAATCATTGTTCTTTGCAATGTGCAAAGAACGTGGCAAAATTTAAAGTATTTGTACCTAAATTATCTTCAAAAATCATTTTGGGGTTGACAAATTTTAACTACAAAAACATCATGAAGAATATTATAAATGAATTTAATTTCTGTAACTGCTTCTGACAACTCAACATTAGACACATAATGAAGATTTAGTCATACTATTCTGCTTTCTCAATTTCTTAAATATTACATTGTCAGTCTTACATCAAACCCAGAGGTAGACTTTCTATCTATGTTGTCAACACCCTAATCAGCATCTATACCCCATAATGTCAGAATTGTAATATTTATAGTAAGTTAATTTTTTTGTATATAAATATTTTAAAATTCTTATATCATATGTAATGTATGCATAATCATAACATCATTGAAACCTGCTAAAGTAATTCACATCCAAAGCTAAATATGGCATGGTACCAGTACTGATAAGCAGGAGAGCACCAATTAAAATTCTTTACTTTATACCCATGTTATTTACAGCCTATCAAGTTTAAATTGATTTCCTTATATTTGGAATTGAACAATTTATATTTTTCAATTTTGTACCCTTAAGCCAAAGAGACAAGATTTTTTTATTAAGACTCAGTAGTGGCTTGTACGTTACTGCCAGTGCACCACTAATAAAAAAGAATGTGTGTATAAATTGTTTCTTCAAAATATTTTCTTTATAGTTATTGATTTGAACAAGCACTTAGTCATTTGATGACCTTTCAATACTCTCTTCAAACATATAGGGCATAGTGCTATCTGTTGGCCTCCCTCTAAACCTCTGAGCTATCAACTGATTAGCACTTTATTTCCCTTTTAACACAGTATATAAAATGCTGTGTTGGTTTGTGTGTGTCTCTTATGTACGATGCAGTGTCAAAATCAAACTGACACAGCAGTTCATGTTCTGTTCTATAGAGTGCATTAATGGCACTATCTTCATCAAGCTGTCTTTCTCTCACTCAAAATGACCCTGACCGCCTGGTATTTCGTACATCTTTCCTAGTTTTTTGTGCTTGGAGAGGCAACATACGCCATGATCATAAGACTTCCTCTCTTCTTCCTGTACTTCATCTAACAGCTTGAGGAAGCTGTGATCTCTTGTGATTACTATGGGCATCCAGGCTTTCAGGCTGAATATATTTGTTTGTTCTTATTATTTTGAGGTTCTTTTCAGCTACAGATCACTAAACCCGTTTTAAAGAGCTGCCTAGATGATTAAAAACATAGATGACTTTTGATTGACGTTTTATTAAGATCATTTTTTTATTTTTTATAATGAATAATTGGTAACATCAATATTTTTTTATCATTGTATCACTAACTGACACCACCAATAGTATTTTGTACTGGTCACCACTGCTAAGATGCATAACATTATTCTTTTCATAATTGTAATCAATTCAATACCAATATAATTTTTAACTCTTCCTAAATCATCTGTTCTTGATTTCTCTGCTAGATTAATTTTAATTTCATTAACTTGACCACACATTTTTATCTCTTCTCAACAAATTATAATGAAATCTACAAATAACAAAATATAAATTACTATATCTTTTTTTTTCCCCCTCACATACATACAATATAAAATATACTCCTTCGAAATCCTATCTCAGTTACATGATAATTAAACCATTCATACTATGATTATGGGCTTTCTCTAAGGCCGTATAATGACTTGATTAACTGGTACACTTCATTGCTGTTCACATTCATTGTTTAACATAAATTTCCGAAATCATTTCACCATCCAAAAAAGGTTTCTTCCACATCAATTTGTTCTATATTAAAACTACATTGACAACAATAACACAAAATAGTTTCTAATGTTTAAGTTTTGAATGCTGGGAGTGCATGAGCGAGTCCTCTGGGTGCTGAAATCCTTATACAAACAATATTGCCTTGAACTCGTCTTCTTATTTCCTTTTATAAATCTCACTACTGTCTATTTGTGGCTTTTGAAATGTGACCATTTCCTTATCCATAGCCAATATGTATTGTTCTGCTTACCTTGATGAAATTGCCTCCCCAAATGTAGTTGGGGTCAAGGCATTACAATAATACAATAATTTACTTTAATACAGTTATACTCAAATTCTACATCATAATGAAGTGGAACTTTAATTGTTCTCTTCAAAAAAATATTGTTGATTGTGCCGATATTGATTAATTAATTTGCGCAATAAACATAACACTATAACGAATGTTTATCCAATTTTCTTCTGAGATCTCAGTGTTCCTTTTCTCATTTCTAAATAATTTTTTTTCTATCATTAAGCCTTTTTTCTCGCTTTACAAAATTCAAATTCCACTCCTATAAAGAAATTACAAAATGCAATATATTTGGAATTTCATAAATGTTTATCATTGGCATCTTTCATTACACACACGACTATAGCAGGAACATTTTCAAATAGAAATGCACAGAATTTGAGTCATACCAAACGTAGTACAAAATAGTCACACTTCATTTCCTTGATGGTTCTATATTTCAGAGCAGTTAACTGTATTTTTTTTTCATAATTTTCCCTTCATTCTCGTTTTCCTTTTTTATTCTAAAGAAGAAAAGTCTGCTGATGTCTGATGCTCCGCAAAATTCATTAACATGATTGACTACGTATTCAGATGTTTTCCTTTTAGGTTCTCGAATATTTGTATTTTTTTTATTATTATTTGTATTTAATTATTTTACCCTTTTCTCCGCGATACATTCTGATTCCAAACACATTACAAAATTGACTAAATTACATTATCTACATTTCTTTACCAATGTACGTCCACTAGATGCAGTCACATCCACCACCAAAAATCGACTGGCCAGAATATCCACGATGAAATTCACGAAAGGGCTTCTCGAGTATTGATTTGGATAGTCCTTTCTGCTGATAATGCCATTTAAACAAATGCTTCCTTTCAGCCCAACAGGTCACACATCCCGCCTTTGTACCTCGTCTTTTCGTCGAGTCCCCTGTCACGCTCGGCTCGACTTCAAAACAAACCGCAAATACACATAAGAGATGTGTCCGAAGAACTTCGGGTGATGAGAGAAAATAATGTCGCTATTTTCCTCACAACTTCGCCGCTGGAAGTATTTAATTGGACGTCAAAAACGTAAATAGCGACGATATATTTTCATTCACCAATTTAAAATTTACACAGTTTCGTTAACAATTCATTATTTTTTTCAACCTATTAATATTTCGCTGACGTTCAAGCTCCCGCTTGGACGGCACCGTAACAGCTGATTACACATCAAGTACTATTATAAATGAATCGAAATATGATCTACGACGCGCGTCAACGCAACGCTCGTGTGACACAGGTTTATCAAACCAAATTTCTTTCCTTCCTCTTCCTCGTCCTAGCTCATCCTTTACTTTCATGCACTACCCTACCCCACATGCCTGGAGACCAGTCGAAAGCTTAGCTTATATAGAAGAATTTTCCTAAGGATGGGATAAAGTGACAGATCGGAAAAACAAGTGAACATCACGTTA